GAAAAGTGATAAAACATCTATGATATGAAGTCGTGCTTTTTTCTTCGGAACAGTAGAGAAGGTGCACCGAAAATATGGTCTTCAGAGCGTCAGCCATACCAGAATATTTTTATTGAAGCTTCGGAGTGAACTGCAGTGAAGTAGCAAATAATCGTGCAAAAAAGGACGTATTAAATTCAGTAAAATTTTTTTTCACTAGCTGAAATGACACTACTCATTCTTTGGAAACGTGTTGCTGTCTGCAGTCCGTTTTTGCTACACTATTCACAAAAAATATGATTTTGTTTGTTTCCCCTTATTCATCTGCTACGCTGTAGGAAACACTCTTTCAACACAATTTAAATTTTTGACTGATTTTTTTTGTTCAGTAAAAAAAATCATTTTGCAATGTGACTTTGGGCCGGCGACCTTACTATTGGTCGGATCGTGGGAAGAACCAACTTATTTCAAAGCAAGAATCATCAAAATCATAGTAGGATCTACATCTGTTAAGAGTTCATACCATAAAATCATCAGAGAGGTTGATGGGAAATATTTGTTGCAGTAAATTTGGACAGAAAGCCTGTAGAAATTCTAGAAATTGTTCGATTGTGTCGTAAAAACACAGAAACATTAGTACATAGGTTTTTTAGCTTACAAAATCTGTTAAAGTCTTCTTTTCTGAACGAATAAATCTATTCTTGCAAGACGATGACTTCATGTATGTCTTGCACGTTATCCCTCGAATAATTTATACTGTGTAGACATTCACATCCTTCTTCGTTCATTTTTTTCCCGTTCACAGTGAGCGTTCTCTGATGAACACTGGCAATATCCATCTTCAAAAAAGTGTAAGCTAGCTTGTGCAATGACTTCGCTCATAAATCATTTGCATCGTATATCACTCTGGAGGTTTTAGAAAAACCGATAAAGTGCAGAACATGCGGTTTTCAACACGAATGCATGCATTTATTAGAGCTGGATCGAAGGCAAGCATTTGGTTTTTGGAATAGGGAAATAGGATTTGAATCATTAGGCAAGAAGTCACTATCTATACGATTATTGACCAGAATTCGGGAACTTCAGCCATCTATATTTAGTGATCCAAATTTTCTCTTCTGTCGCCAAATGCTCGTTATGTTTCCACAGCTGTTTCGTGTTTTTTTGCTGTTCATTTCAGCGCTCAGTTGTTCGATACGAACAGATGTTCATTTAGATTACAGCTCAAAGAGCTAATAAAGCCTTCGTGGCAGTCCGAGTTCCTCATCCCGTGCTTATGCCCCTATAAAAAGTCCATCGAGCTTATCTATCCGTTCTTCCATAAGTGCTACTATCGCGACCTCGTTTTTTAATGGTAAAGTACCACTTCATCTTTTTTTTTTCACCCGTTCGAACCGCTTCTTCGTACTCTTCGACCTTTTGAACCCGTTGCTGTCTCGGAGTTATCCATCTTAAGAGTGACAGATGGCCGATTCAATTTTGCAGAAGAGGAAGGCTAGAATTCTAAGGAACACTATTCCCTCAGGTTTTAAGCTAGAACGCGTTTGATCTATCACTTCTGTGACGTTTTAGAAATGGCGATGATATCTGAGACTGCTACGAATGTTGCAAATCATTTCTTCTATGGAACCGAGAAATTTTAAGAGCGATAAACAAATTCATATAGGAACAAATTTCACATATGAATATTGGCGAATAATTTGTTACACTTTTACAATTTATTGGCATTTTATCAGTTGCACTTTCGGAAAACTCTGAAAATCATTTAGAGTCTTATCAATCTTCACATGATGCACATAGTGAGTAGAAATTTGTCGCTTCAGATTTTTCCATAATCAGTTCTCTCGCTTTTTTAGACACAGAAGATATTAGACTGACGGAAGGCGGTGACGAAATATATCACTAAAAGTTTTGGGATAGAGAAGCATTGAGAGAGGCAAAAATTTTTCAATAAAGAAACTGAAAATTTGAGTATGCAAGCAAGATTGTTGTAAGCTTGCTGGCTATGTGTGTGTTTGCGACATCAGTCATTCCGCTCGTTAGACCATGGTATCCCATAGAATAAAGCACATTAGAATTTCAGGAGGTTTTTGGAATTTTCCATTAGAAAAAAGTGTAGCAGAAATTAACCGCTAACCTAACAAAAAAATTTGATTTATTATGTAAGATGATCTGACCGGAAAATCGAAGTGTCGAAAAAGTAGCGAAGCGGAGATGAAACTGAAATTTTGAAAAAAATGTGATGATTTTAAAAGCAAAGCTTCCAGTCCTCTCAGCGGATTGCAAACTCCCTATAGGAATTTCAGACAAACTATACTCTATACCAACTTCACAAGACATGGAGTTTCATAGAGCCGAAAAGTGTAATACTTTTTCAAATTTCATCAAAACTGCATTTTCCCTTTTCTCGGTCAAGCAACAAAATAGCAAAGAAGGCATCTCTGTTTGCCAGACATCTTGCAGTAGATCCCGTTCTTACCTCAAAGGCTATTTTTCATGTGTAAAAAATTCAAAGCTAGATTTAATATGGATTTTCTTATTTATGTCATGGCACCTAGGTGCAGAAATTCTTATAAAAACATTTAGGCTTAGCTTTGCTTTACGTCTTGCAAAAGTGCGACTTGCCACCGCTCGGCACCGGATGTGTAAAGCATGAAAGGCTAATTACCGAGCGCTACTTGGCGCCTTTCAGTTCTTTTTCGCTTGTAAGAAGCGGTTTGATGGGGTTTCGACTCGTAGAGCTGGAGCGGCTAGTCGTATAGCAGCTGTTCGGGCAGGGGAGACTTACTCTTCTGGTTTTTTGAGACCTTTTTCTGAGGGCTCAGATGACTTCAGCATTACTTTTGTCTTTTTTATCCTCAAAACGAAACTCAAAACAATGCCGCGAGTGAGAGTGTACTGCTCGAAAATATTCAGAAATGCCGAGAATATTGAGCAACGAACTTGGTAACTTTTGATACAAATGGATTGGCGGCTGAAAGGCGGGGCTTTGTGATCTAATTAAGTCGCTCGCGCCCGCGACGCAGGCTGTCTCTCTCGCGAAAGTGCTCTCTGATCATTATCTAGCCCTAATTAGGTCACGAAGCTCCGCCTTCCAACCGCAAAGCCAGTTGAATCAAAGTTTACACATTTGCATCAAACTATGTAAACGATCAATCATAATTAATTGTATGCAGTAAATTTCGGGTTCAAGCACCAGCTGGCAAACCCAATTTGAGATAAATTTATAAGAGATAAATCACTTATAACGGGGCTGGTGGATCAATGGGAACGTGGGATTGGGAGGACGGGGTGATGTAATGGATCCGTTAGAAAGATGGCTCCGTCTAGTTCAGGCATTTTTTTTTGGCTTTTTTGTATAAAAACTCCCATTACACAGCTGTTGTTTAACAGCAATTTGGTTATGATTACCCTTTGCTTTTTCAACCCTTAAAATTAACATATAGTTTCCTTGTTCTTAGATCGCTACCTAACACCAAAGTATTGATAAAAATGAGCAAATAGATCCAGTGAGGGAATCCATGATGTTTTGCTGGTAATTAGGTGTGACCATTTTTTTAAACATGATCTTCCAAAAACTATAAACTGTATGTGCTATCCTGCTATCGAAATTTGCGCTTAAAAATAATTCGAACGCCTCTCAGTCAAACAAACATCCCCCCTCAACCTCCCCTTTTCTGCTCTTGGCTTCAAGTGGTCCACTTTGAATAGACTAATGGAGCAGCTATCTGGGGTGAGTGTGTGGGTGCTAAGGTTTCATATTTGCAGAACACTCTCGGTAGCCTTGTAATCAATCCGTGCAATGGACAATGCATAACGTGCACAACGTTTGCTTTTATGCACGAAATCACTAAAGAAAAGGGCATGTTTGCCTTCTACATTATTGATGACGGTTGCTTTATTTGGTAGCTTTCAAATATCCAAATATTATGACACATACTCTTCTTGGTACGGGATAATTTTCAAGAAAGTGCAAGTTACGCGCACGAGTCATTTCCCTCACCCTCTTTGTCCTCACCTTCCCAAGCTTCCCCTCCCTCTGACCTTTTGGCTCTAGATTCTCTGACTAAAATCCCATCCCAATGTGGTTGAGCGGACCATTTCGTACGTCGACAGTGGTCGCAGGGGGTGATTTTATGATCGGCGTTTATGGCTGGAAACGGCAGTGCAGATGGCTCGCACACTCGAACGGGGGATTAGACTAGATCTCTCGCTGGCACCGCCTTTCACCCCCTTCGCTGCCCGTTTCAGTTCTTTAGTGCCAACGGGGATTTTACTATAGGGGTTCGTTTTTGGGTCCCAAGTGGCATACTTTCACGGTCAGAGATTTCCTGAAATTTACTTTTTCTGGAGAAACTCGGCTGAGATAGTTATGTTCGAGGGGTACGAACTGCCGGAACTCTCTTGCAATTTTTTTGTTTTTTCTAAGAAATAATATCTTTCGTAACTCTTAATCAACCTTTGTATCTATTGGGGGAGGGAAGGAATTATTTTGATTGCTTAACTTCGTGAAATAAATATTCCACTTCCGCTTTGCCTTTCCTCAATAAGTAAGCATTTTTCTCTCTTTCTAGGTACATTGCAGCTCGAAAATGATTTTTTTACATTTAATAAATTTTTGATTATGCACTTTCAGAATTGTATAAATAATCGATAATAATTTAAAATGAAATTGGAAATACGAAGATTTCTCATTCATTTCACACAATGTAATCAAAGAAGCTAATCAAGCCATAAGAAATTGTATGCTAACGTTCCTTTACTTAGGCGGATTTTTAAATACTTTTAGCTTATTGTGGACTCTGGCTTCAACTTTTCAAGTTTCATTTGAATTTTTTGATGTGTATTGTCGGCCAAAGTATCTGAAATCTACAACATAATCCATCTTCTTCAAATTTCCCACGTACCCTTGAATCTTCCAGCTTTTTCTTCGAGTAACATCAGTATAGGAGCCTTTGCGTTTTTCTCCATAATCTATTGCCACCTACCCCCTCCTAATTAATCACTCGTCGAGGCAGTTGATGAGTATGTTACTCCTCTCTCACTGCCTCATTCTTCACCATCTCATGGCTGGCACAACGTCTTTCAGGTCGGTAGAGGTTTCTTTTTTATGCTAAAAGGTCTTGCTAAGGTAACATTGTCTCCTAGCTATCAATATCGTAATTTATGTTCCTTTTTTTCTGCTGCATATTTGATGTTTTAGCCGTGAACAATAGACACGGTGACAATGGCTGTTGTGGTAGCATTCATGGCGAATAGCACCGACGTCTGACTCTCATGTAGCGCTATTGATACGTAGAAAAATGGTACCGATATTTACCCTGGGTTATTCGTCAGATCAACCTATTTATTCATCCTCTCCCGCAGTTGATTGACGAGAGAGGATGAATTGATTGTCGTCTTCCTAACATCAAAATATAAGGTTTATTGTTCATCGCAAAATCATCAGACGGAATTAGAAAGGGAAAAAGGGGTATTTCGAGAAGATAGCCTGTAACAGAACTTCAAAGATATGCTTCTTGCAAATGCTTTCTGTACGAAACCTCTTATTTACATTTTTCTGGATTTTTGCTCGTTTTTCCATTTATCTTCTTTTTTATTTCAATGCCCTCGAAGAGCGTCAATGCGAACAAGTAGTAGATGAGAAGATATTTAAAGAATGAAGCATATGAAATAAAATGAAGACTAATCTACCAAGAATTTGCAGTAAAAAACTAAGTAGCTTCCTAGCTTCCGAATCCCCACTTCGTCATTGAAGTTCAGTATTACAATTCGTCCTCACGTACTTACTCAGCTCGCAATTCCTCTTTCTATGTCTCTTTCTGTCACTTTTTAATCTCTCTTTTTTCCAATAATTTCTTATTTTCAAAACCCGCTTTTGATACCGCAGATAAATTCCGTGTTTTCCAGGTAAGAAAGTTTTTTAAGGTAAAGGGGAAAGATGTTAAATAAGTCAGAACCTAGATGAAAAAAGTGGACTCATATGCTACAGTTTAGGGTTTGTTCCTTATCCCCTTATTTTTACGTCATTCTTTTACATTTTCTCATTTTCATGCTTGATACTTAACTCTCAGGATTACTCATCTTCTTGTAATAGCCTTTCCTTCACCTCTCATACCCCCCCCCCCCCCCGGCCCCGTTCGTTCAGCACACTCAATCATTCGAACTCTCATCCATTCATTATAGCATCTGCACACGCAAAGCGGCCAGATGACGAACATCAGCTGAGCCCTTTCGGCCACACTTAGCGGCTTCCGTGCCTCGAACGCAGCGCAAATGTTTGCGTTACGATTGGCGATCTGCAGCTGCTCTGCTGTCCGGTCATTTGCTTCTTGTCGATGTTCAATGCTTTTTGTCTTCTCTCTTATCGGCGCAACTAGAAAAAAATTCGGACGGGTGGAATTTCTTGGCCAAAGATTTTGCGGAATTTTTCTCTATTCTAAGTTCCGGTTCGTGCTTGCGATACAGCCCGTCTAATGCCCATAATAGCGCTTTTTCTGAAGCACCTCGCCAAGGCCGATAGCGCTCCTCTTCATTATGCGAATGGCCATCGCTCGAGGATCGAGTGAGGGGCTAGGGTTGAGCGACGGGACGAGAGCTGGAATTCCTCGGAACTTGTTTTTCTAATACGTTCTTGTCGCAGTTCGTACAATAGCTGAGGCTATAAGCCGAGAGAGTGAGTAAATGATGGTTTTTTTGACCAGTTTTTCACGATTTTTTCCGCCTATTGCTGCGAGGGAGTAAGGTAAATTTCTCACAAGGTTTTTCTATTTTTTCTTGTTATGCTAATTTCGTTCTAAATTTTCTCGCTATTTTTGCAACCATGAATCCTTATAATCGCATGAAACATAGCATAACTAGCAAGCCTGCAAAAATCTCTCTAAATCTGCTTTTTTTATAGAATTTTCATGAAAACTTGTTCCAATATTTCGCGTTGTAATTGACGACTCCTTGGCTGCCGCCATTTTTTCTAATCGTTATTGCCTTCTTCAACTCTACACGATTTTTTCCCCATCTCAACAAAATCAATGTTGCACTTTTAAGGCGTTTGTGTACCCCCGACATCGACCTTTGCAGCCAAAGTTTATCGTCGTCACGACGATGTTGAAGTGTGGCATTGAGTAGCTTGTGGATTACGGAATTTGCGTCTCTAGTACACTTCGTTTATATCTCGATGCCGTCCATTTGATTGCCGAAATGTGTTTGTCCCAAAGCGAATGAGTAGATGAGGGGCTAAATAAGGGGACATCCATCTGTCCAATGAAGCAAGGCGGGGTAAACAGATTAAATGAATAAGTGATTAATTGCAGTCGTTGACAACATGGAGAATAGATATAGAATGAAAAATTTTTTCATTTGGATAAGATGGTTTAGATTTATTGCAAGATTTAATGCTACCATTTATATATTCATTGCACTACATAAATGTAATGTTTTGTCCCATAACTCTTTGCAATTTTTTTTGATTGACTGATGACTTTTATTGTTTGACCCATCAAAAGCATAGACTTCGTGCATTGCGCATGAGATACTAACTTAAAATAATTCGTTTATACAGGGTGTCCCAAAAGTCCTTAAGCCTAACTTTTCAACGTAGTAACTTTGTTAGTATTCCTCGCTTTTCAGCCAAATTTTGCATTTTAGTTCCCCGTCTAGTTGCCAGTATTTTTCAAGAGAGTCATACCGTTTGCATTGCACATTCTTGAGATATACTTCCTGTAGCAAACAATACTGCAATCGTGAAGACAAGCCGAAGAAAACGTATCCCCTATTCAAATATTTACAGCTCTTTTGCCTTTGGAGCTGTTGTGCAATCTCAAACTGCATATTGTAGAGCTAGGTTCACTCAACATCTACAGTGCAAAACAAATCAATAGACTCAGTTCATTAGAGTAGGATTAGGATACAAACACTGAGGTTGTGCCGTGCCAATGAGAAGAAAAAGTTCTCGGAAACAAAAACCTGGAGAAGCTGAAAACTCCAACGCTAATCAGTTTGAGTCACTAATTCTAGCTGTAAACCCTGCATTTCCTACTGAAATACCATTTTAAAGTACTCCCGGTGCACCATATTTGCTGTTTATTAGTGTTCTCAAATTCTTGAATGCTACATTTTGACACTTTTGTCAAATCTCACAGATATGCTTCTCGTATTAACATGCCTTCAATAGCCGGGTCAAGAGGCCCTTGACTTTTCTTTGTGATCAGTCATGGAAAGCAAGGCTTGCTCTATTCTATGCTAAATTTTGGACAGTCTGGATTGTTTGCTTCAGAAGGTGTGAGACAATCTCGATGTCAACTACATGGCTGCCATGGTGCACGCATTCCGCAAGCGTCTGAAAGCCTGTGTAAAAGCCAAAGAAGGGTTTTTCGATATTTGAGTGTATAATGTTGTTTTGTAGGTTCTTCGCAAATTACCTGTTGAATTTCATGCGTCTATGTTGCTTTGTACATTTTCAGCGGAGAAAAAACTAGGCTTAAAGACTTTTGGGACACCCTGTAATAATAAAAGTGCTATTTTTTAGATAACTCAAATACCAGGCTGCCATAATTTGTCACTTGCATTTTTTTTACAAAATGTCAAAATTGTAATTTTTTTTACACTTGATTGAGTACACTCTTCGGGAAAGTCCTAAAGATTTTCCTTTGAAGTTCAAACAGTTTCTCAATTCAAGTTAAGGTTTAAAAGATCACACAATATTTTCGCCCTAAACTTGCCATCTTTGAATTTTTCGCTATTTTAGTCTTTATCTAAGTTTGCACCTACATCTCCGGTTGACGTAACCACTACCAGTTCCATTTCTACCTTGTGAATTAGCCCATTCAGAATGTTTACACAAGTACCGTTCTAATGGCTTTTTGTAGTGCTCAGCCATATAACTCTGTAAATTCTTCTCGCTTTGTCGAGAGGCGGATAAAAAGTATAGCAAACAGAGCGAAAATTGACAAAAGAGTTTGTAAACGCTACTGGTTTCGACTACACATGTTAGGGCTTCTCAATGGGGGTTGAATCCTTTGAAAATATCCTGCCCAATACTCGAGCTGATGAAAGTAGAAGTTTTTCTAGTGCTAAATACTTCGATTCTGCAAATTTTTCTCAGCTTTCAGATTTTAGGTAAACCATTCGACAAGATCATGTTCACGTCCACCATTTTTTGACTTTATTAGATTTTTTAACACAAAAAATAATTTTTTGAAAATTTTTTGATAACGCTGTCACGGCTGTTCGCCGCGCTTTTCTGGACAATACATCGACAAGTGCTTGCGCAACTGCTAGAGAACAGTCACGGCGGTCGCACTTTTTTCAAATTCCCCTCCCCTCCCCCCCCCCCCCCCCGCTTCGTCCACTCGTCGGCTTCACAACAGAAATTGTACTGAAGGCTTATGAGTACAATACACCACAAAATTGTGTTTCTTGGCTTGGAGCCAAGTGCGCCTATTGTTCTTCTGCGTTATCTATTTGGTTATCACTTTGTACTGATAATTACCAGACATACTGACAGACACATTTTCTTGTTTTGATTGATTTTTCGGCGCAAAATTCTTCCTCCCCCCCCCCCCTTTTTTTTCAACATCTCCGGTAGACTCGTATTTTTTCAAAGTGCATTGACTTTTTGTATGTATCGCCGCTGCTACGTCGGGTCCTCTCTCTCGTATGTATCGTGTTTGATCAGTCATTTTATTGCATATTCCAGTTTTTATCCCATGGTGTTTTCGTTTTTTTCGAGAGCTGGTGAGTGCCTCTATGGTGGTGTGGGAAGGGGATTATAAAAGGGTTGAATATACGTCAAATTCGTTCCATTTTGAAGCAGAGCAGCATATATGCGTTTCTTATTTTTTTCTTTTTCCACCCCATTTGTATATGTAATCGAGAAAATTCTATTTTCTGAGAGTAAATCGTGTGGTAATGTGTTCGGTTACTTCACTGCTTAGAACTCAAATTCAAAGTGATCGTGCAACACGCTTTCCAAAACAGACATTATTTATAAATTTTTGAATTTAACCATATATTTCCAGTATAAATAGTAGCCTTACTGAGGAGTTCGGGGGAAGGTCTGTAAATACTTTCACTCTGTCTAAGGGCAGGAAC